CTTGGAAAGTCGGTGTGGAGGCATCAAGTGTTAATACCACGCATACTGTTGCTGATCTGCTGGCTCCCTTCATCAGCGTGAGTCAGCAGTTGAGCCTGCAGCTTCTCCCACTGCTGCCAGATCTTCTCCTTCAGCATCTCTGAATCCTGAGGCAGGCACAACAGCAGACACAAAAGCAACAGCTCTACTTAGATGGCTTAACGAGCTCCCACAATTACTTATGGTCAAAGTCTATAGGACTCCTAGTTGGTCTTCTCGGATTGAACCCTGATAATTTGCTACTATAACAAAATAGCTAACCCATATAACAGGTTTAGGAATTGGGCCTCAGGCCCTGTAAGTTACAAGGGCCATGAAAAGACTGTTAGCAGGAGCCTGATGTTACTCCAGGAGGCTGTTGGTGAGGGTATAAAGGAATATGAGGAAAATGTTATTGGAAACTGGAAGAAAGGTGACTCCTGTTACATAGTAGTCGAAAGTTTAGTAATGCTGCCAACAGCATTAACATGGAAGATAAGAAGTATATCTCATCAACTGGATGATCTACCTAAAGAGATTTCTAGACAGAGTGTTGAAGGTGCTATGGGGATTATTCTAGCTGCCTATAGTGAGAGACAGAGGAGAAAGGCAAACAAGAGGAAGGATTATTAAATATAAATGAGCCATAAATTTTGGGTTTGAAAAATATAAGTTTCTCATTCCGAGCCTCTTCCGACAGTAAATAATGCTAAAATTAAGAAATGAGTTCCAGACAGAGAGCACATCCGGGGAACTGTCAGGAAAATGAAGTCTAAAGATGAAGCCGAAGGCATGATTGTAAAAACCCTTTGTTAAGACCTCAGGAAGATTAAAGATGCTTTCTTAATGATGGATGAGAGAGCTTCTAGAGTTCTTAAGGCTATTGTCCCGCAGTAGTTTCACATGGGAACCCAGAATAGAGAAAGGCTATCCTAAAGAGATTTTGCGTGTGGCTTTTGTCTGATGGAGTGAATTATAAACTGTTTCAAGAGGAACCCACAAAGTTTTTAAAAGGATTTTATCAGTTTGGATTGAAAGGGACAGTATAAAATGAAAAGATGAACCCTCATACACTGCTGGTAGAAATGTAAACTGATGCAGCCATTTTGGAAAACAGTCTGGCAGTTTCTCAAAGGTTAAAGATAGAGGTACCATGTGACCCAGCAATTCCTCTCCTCGATATATACGCAAGAGGAAATGAAAACATTTCCACACACAAAATTGTATGCAAATATTCAGAGCATTATTCGTAATGGCCAAAAAGGAGAAACCACCTAAATGTCCATCAACTGATAAATGGATAAATAAAATGTATACCCATACAACGGAATTTTTAGGCACTTATAAAAAGGAATCAAGTACTGGTACATGCTATAACATGGATGAACTTTGAAAACATTATGCTAAGTGAAAGAATACAGTCAAAAAGACCACTTATTGTATGATCTCATCTATATTAAATGTCCAGAAAAAGCAAATCTATTGAGATAGAAAGGGGATTAGTGGTGGCTTTTGGCTAGAATGAATGAGAGGAATGAGAGGGTGATTGCTAAAGGATGCAGAGTTTCTTTTTGGAGTGATGAGTGTTTTGAAATTGATTGTGGTGATGGTTGTACAAGTTGGTGAATATACTTACACCATTGAATTGTACACATTATTTTTATTTATTTATTTTTTAAAATTATTTATTTATTTATTTTTTTCCTCCAAAGCCCCAATAGATAGTTGTATGTCATAGCTGCACAGCCCTCCAGCTGCTGCATGTGGGACACGGCCCCAGCATGGCCAGAGAAGTGGTGCGTCGGTCTGCGCCCGGGAGCCGAACCCGGGCCGCCAGCAGCAGAGTGCACGCACTTAACCGCCAAGCCACAGGGCCGTCCCGAATTGTACACTTTAAATGAGTGAACTTTATGGTACGTGAATTATAACTCAATAAAGTTGTTAGCAAAAAAGAAAAAATGAAAAGTGGCCTTTGGATTCTTGAACTTCTATGGATAGGAAGCAGTCTGAGAAAACTGCTTAGCACACATGGGTTATGTTTTATGAAAAAGGAAAGATAATTCTAGAGCCCAGAGAGGGGAACCAAGAGCCAGTCCCAGGCAGTAGGACTAAACTCTAGTCAAGGAACTGCAACATGTACCCAATTAGGTTCCAGAATTACTATGAGCCAGTGGCTGCTTTGTGCCTCTAATTTTTCCTTTTTTTTTTTTTTGAGTGGACTGTCTATTGCCTGTCCTATGTTTCACCCATTCTTATATTCTGGATATGTGGGGACAGATAACTTGTCTCTTTAGCTTATAGGTCTCAGATCAAGATGAACTGTACTTGAGCTGGATTCAAGGAATTGCCCCTGAGGAGATACATCTACCTTTGCACCTCATTTAGATGACAAGATCTTGGGATCTGATGCTCCAAATAGATGAAACTTTTGGGGAGTGGGGCTCTTGGGAGAGAGTGTCTCTATTTTGTGTGTTGGAGGAGTGTAAATAACTCATGGTCAAAGGGTGGACTGTGGTGGGTTTTAAGACATGTCCACTTACTATTAAGAGGTGGAGTTTAATTCCTTTTCCTGTAAATGTGGGCTGGCCTCAGTGACTTGCTTCTAATGAATAGAATGTGGCAGAAGTGATGCTGCATGACTTGTGAAGCTAGGTCATGAAAGTGATATAGCTTCCACTCTGCTTTCTGTCTTGAGATGCTCAGGGTTAGAACAAAGCCACCATATTGGGAGGAAGCCCAAGCCACATTGGAGAGGCTACATGTAGGTGTTCTGCTTGATTGCCCTAAGGTTCCAGCCAACAACCAGCACCTATCACTAGACAGGGGTGAATGAGACTTTAGATGATTTAGATGAGCCCCAGCCTTTGAGCCACCCGAGCTGGTGCCAAGAGGAGCATTGACAAGCTGTCCCCACTAAGCCCCACCCAAACTGTAGATTTGCGAATAAAATAAACATTGTTTTAAGCCATTAGTTTTTGTAGCAGTTTGTTACCCAGCAATAGATAACTGGAACAGGCAATATTAATAGGACTGATTGCATGCTGGAAGTAAGAGAGGAAGAATCAGGAATGTTTACCAGATTATCTAGGTTAAGCAAATTAATAGAAAACAGTATGAGATTGTAGTGTCCTGTTTACCATTTAAAGCAGTAACAAATTGCCAGTGTTTGGATAGTGTCAGCTAGGGTGCTGGCCACACAGAGTTACTTTAGAGGAGATGAGTGTTCATGAGATTGTTTTTAAAAAACAAAGCCTTATAAACGTTCGTTTAGAAGGTAACAGCATGATTGTTCCTAGCAAACTATCAGAGTAAAAACGGAAAATAGCTTTGGATAAGATAAGGCAAAGAGCAGTGATTAAGAAGCTGAAAATGATTTTATCTATCATTCCAGCAACTGGAAGTCACTATTAATCAGCACTTCTTGTTTTACTGTTCTGATGATATTGATGTTCATTATAATACCCTCTATAAATTTAGTGATTCTTCTTGAGGGCTTTGGTGCCTGCTTTACCCTCTTACTGGAAAGGCTCTAGTCTCTAACAACACCCTCTCAGCAAGGCCATCTCTGGTCGTCTATTTAAAATTGCAAACTGCTCACTCCCACACTCCCTATTTTCCTCACCTGCTTAATTTTTTGCCTTAGCACCTAACACCATCTAACATACTAGATTTACTTATTTATCTTGATTAATTTTTTCCCGCTACTAGTTCATTGAGAAAGGGATTTTTGTCTTTCTAATTCACTTCTCTATCCCTGCTGCCTGGAACAGTGTGGAGCATGTAGTAGGTGCTCCTAAATATTTGTTAAATAAATGAATAAAGTGATTTCTGGATTATAAGGGAAGGATTGAATCATGTTCTGAATACTTTCAATGCAGAATGTACTTTGTAGTATTTAACTTTTTGGAAATAAGCAATCTAAATGTGGCATATATATATGTAACCCAGATGTCTCCAAGCCTCATAACTGGGCACAATGGGGTTCTAATAGTAATCAAATGTTACTGGCTTCAGCTCATGCCCCTTCCTCTTCTTTTTATCTTTGTCTTAATCTTTTATTTGGAAATTTTCAAATATACACAAAAAATAATGAGAATAGTATAGTGAACCTCTATGTACCCATTACTGAGCATACATAATTATCAATGTTTTGTTAATCTTGTTAGATCTGTTTCTTTCACCCATTTTCCCCCCCTGATTATTTTAAAGATTCAACATATTATGTAATTTCAACTGAAAATTTCAGATACATTTCTAAATGTTAAGTACATTTTTAAAAAACACTACCACCATGCCATTATCACACATAACAGAATTAGTCATTCCTGTCATCTAATATCCAGTCCATGATCAAATTTCCCCAATTGACTCCATGATATTTTTATTCAAATCAGGATCCAAACAAGGTCCACACATTGCATTTGCCTGTTATTTCTCTTAGGTCTCATCTATTTCATTACAGTTTCCCCTTCTTTTTATTAATGCTCTTGATTCGTTGGTTAAACCTTGTATCATTTGCCCTGTAGAATTTGTCGTGTTCTAGATTTGGCTGACTGCTTCTCTGACATGAATTTAGCTTGTTCTCTTGCTCTCATATTTTCTGTAAATGGTAGTTAGATCTAGAAGCATGATTAGATTCAGATTCAATATTTAGGCAAGAATATTTCATAGGCGGTCTGTGTACTTTTTATTGCATCACTTCATGAGACTTATAACATGTGATTGCTTCCATTTTAATGATGTTAAAATTGATTAGTTGCTTAAGTTATTAGCCTGATTTCTTAAGGTTCCTCACCAACCTCTCACTTAATGCTTTTAGCATCCAATTATGATCTTTGCAGGTCAATTATTTATTTCATTAGGCTTTGCAAAAAAGGGGATCTTTCTAAATCTAGTTTTCCTTCTTCATTTCTTAGCTTCAATTTTTCTATGAATAAGAACTTTATTAACTATTAGGTTACACTAAAATGCAGTTTGTACTGGAAAAGCAGAATAAATGCCTGATTTTTTTCCTTTATCAATTTTCAGACCAATGAGTTTGTTCTCTAACAAGTCCCAATGTAATCAATGATTTTCTTTTGTTTTTAAAATACCATTATGAATTCTTAGATTTTAAAGTATTTTAATGTGTTTCAGTTCACTCTAGGTTATTCATTCTTTCTGATCCTCAAATTTTCCCATTTTAGGACCAGTGGGAGCCCCTAGAAGGGGGCTTCTGTGTCCTTTTGACGTGATATCATTGGTTTTTGATAACTTCCATGTCTCTAGCTAAGATATCCTACGCTCATCTTGTACATTTACTGCCCCAAACCTGGAATCACCTATTACCCCTTTCCACTTTTTACACAGGAAACTGTCTTGTGCCTCCCACCTTCACCATGGTAGATCTCAGAATGTTTTTGTTTCCATGACACACTAATTCTGCAATTAGAAGTTCTAAAGATGCATCATAAGGAACTTAATCCCAAATGGTTACCTTCTCCCTTTTCTATTTCTCTTCCAAGCCCATGGCTGAAAGGTTGTTGGTAAGAGCATTGAAGGGTGGGAAAAGCACTAAGATTGTTACCCTGAATGGCAAGAAGATGACAAAGATGCCCTCCACATTAGAAAAACTGCCTGGCCTGAAGACTCTAGACCTTCAGAATAACCTAATCCCCAAAGTGTGCCCAGAGATAACCACCTTGACCCAGGTGAGGCACAGTATGTCTTTTTGGATTGAGGATGGAAAATAGGAAGAGAGAAAAGATGTGAGAGAACAATAAGGCTTCAATCTTTGGAGACGTAGCTCCTTGGAGATTTACTGTGGAGTGTTGTTGGAGAGGCATCAGAAGGCTTTCTCTCTTAGGGAATTACATATGGTAGGGAGAAGATGTTTCAACTTACTCGTGCTCTTTGGCCCACATCTGAAATCAGAGGATTGGGTCTCTGCCACACTCATCTTTCTGGAGGCTGTCATCTGGAAAGGGATTGGGAGCCTGGATCTGCTTATCTACCTTGGGGGCTCCATCTGGAAGTGGGTTTAAGGATCCCAGAGATGCTGTTCACCCTGGGAACTATCTTGAAGCTTTGGCATATGGAATGAAGGGACGATTTGGATGTAGAAAGGGGATTCTTTTTCAATTTCCTATAGCAGGCTGAACTTTGAAATGGAGTGTTGGCAGGGAATAAGAAGGAGGGGACGTTTATTTCTTCTGAAGTAGTCTTAAAAAGAAGGTTAGTGTTTTAAATAAAGAATACCCTTCTTAAAGAGCAACAATTGACAGGAATGAATCCCAGATGCTTGTGTTAAACATTTCTGCCGCACAATGTGCAACTCCAGCTAAAAATCTTGAGGTTAGGAGAAAACAAGGGATATTAACTTTGCTGTTTTCTTTTTGCTTACTTCTAAACTGTCATCAGCACTGAAAGAACCTATAACCAGCTAAGTCATTGCAGTTAATGAGTTCAGAGTTACAAAAAGTCTCTATTTTCTTACCTTCACCTACCTCATTTCCTTTTAGATTTACAAAATTGTTTGAGCTAGTAATCTATGACCAAGTCTTTGCAAGAAATAGGATGATACTCACAAACTCACCCCTTTAATGGAGCTTCCAAAGTGCCTTGGTAGTTACAGAACAATACGGATTTGGGCTTTTCTGATGGGACAGAGGAGTTTCTGTGCAAAAGAATTTAGGATTTGACTGAGCCATGAGCTGATTCTCCTTCTCTGCTGTAATTTTTTTCCATTAAAGTAACACAGTGCATTGTTTTAAGAAAATCAAATACTACAAAAGGCTTATAATAAAAAGCACCTATCTTCTCTCCCAGTCCCCTCACCCACAATCTGGATCTCCATCTAGAACCACTTTTAACTCATCTTTTTTTCTTGATTTTTCCATTTTAGATATCACTCTTCTTCATCTTCCAAATATAATTATATTACTATGTATAGTTTCTTCATAGGTCTCTTCTAAACTTAATATTATTACGCCTTCGTTTCTTCTTTCATCAACTACAGTTTCTGTTTACTCCCCACTTGGTAAGATGACAGCATTAGCATCTGTAAACCACTTTCAGCTCTCCTTCCCTCTTCCCATTCACAAATTCTAAACTTCTTACTTTTACAAGATGTATAGCATTTACCTTGTATTCAGTTATAACCATGATTAAATCTTTATTTTGTCTCTTGGAGAATTCTAAATCTAAAATGTATATTGTTAATTAGTAAATATTATTCAAACAAAGCAATTAATATACTATGATTATATTTTCTCCCTTAAATACCATTTTTGTTCCTTTGGAGTTTCTTATCGCCTTTCATTTATTTTTGTGCTGTTTGCCTTAATCATGGCCTCATTTTATTCCAAACTTGATCATATTACATATGTTATCAAATGTGTTTTTTCCTTGAGTGACTTCCCTTAGGAGTATCCATCCTCCTGCCCCAATCTGAGCTGATTACTCTTTAGGTTTGCTGGATGTGGTCAGCCCAGCACATCCCTTTGTGGCTCTCCTGAATTGGACCCACTGTTTCCTGTAACTATATTTCCCTCTTTCTTGGTTTACCCACTTATTTTGTAGGCATAAGTCTTCAGATACCACCGTAGTCTGGGTATGTGGTAGTTAAATTTTTTGAACCCTTGCATATCTGATAACGTGTATATTCTTCCTTCCCATTTGATTAATTGTCGTTTAGTAAAAAACTACAGATTGTAAAATATATTTCCTTCGGAAAAAAGCCTGAGAGTCTGATGATCATTACTGTGTCGTCTTGTGGCTCCCCCATTACTTTCCTCCTCACTCTTCTTCTATTTAGGAGGGACCCTAAATTTTGACTTCTGTTTGCTCATCAAAATTTCCTTAAATAGGGAGTTGGCTCAGCTCGGCCCTCACCTTTAAAGAAGAAATCATACCTTTAAAAAAAAAATTGTTTTATTGAGGTCATAATGGTTTACAACATTGTGAAATTTCAGGTGTACATTGTTATTTGTCAGTCACCATATATATGTGTACCTTTACCCCTTATGCCCACCCCCCAACACCCTTCCCCTCTGGTAACCACTAATCTGTTCTCTTTGACCATGTGTTAGTTTACCTTCCACATATGAGTGAAATCATATGGTGTTTGTCTTTCTCTGTCTGGCTTATTTTGCTTAACATAATGCCCCCAAGGTCCATCCATGTTGTTGCAAATGGGACAGTTTTTTCTTTTTTTATGGCTAAGTAGTATATATATATACCACATACTCTTTATCCATTCACCAGTTGATGGGCACTTGGGTTGCTTCCACATCTTGGCTATTGTGAATAATGCTGCAATGAACATAGGGGTGCATATGTCTCTTTGAATTGTTGATTTCAAGTTCTTTGGATAAATACTCAGCTGGGATAGCTGGGTCGTGTGGTATTTCTATTTTTAATTTTTTGAGAAATCTCCATGTTGATTTCCATAGTGGCTGCATCAGTTTGCATTCCCACCAGCAGTGTATGAGGGTTCCCTTTTCTCCACATCCTCTCCAACATTAGTTATTTTTTGTCTTGGTAATTATAGCCATTCTGACCGGTGTAAGGTGATAGCTCGTTGTAGTTTTGATTTGCATTTCCCTAATAATTAGTGATGTTGAACATCTTTTCATATGTCTGTTGGCCATCTGTTATATCTTCTTTGGAAAAATGTCTCTTCGTATCCTCTGCCCATTTTTTGATCAGGTTGTTTGTTTTTTTGTTGTTGAGTTGTATGAGTTCTTGATATATTTTGGAGATTAACCCCTTGTCAGATGTATGATTTGCATATATTTTCTCCCAGTTTGTGGGTTTTCTTTTTGTTTTGTTCCTGGTTCCCTTTGCGTTGCAGAAGCTCTTTAGTCTGATGTAGTCCCATTTGTTTATTTTTTCTTTTGTTTCCCTTGCCTGAGTAGACATAGTATTCGAAAAGATGCTGCTAAGACTGATGACAATGAGTGTACTGCCTATATTTTCTTCTAGGAGTTTTATGGTTTTACCTTTTACCTTCAAGTCTTAAATCCATTTTGCGTTAATTTTTGTGTATGGTGTGAGATAATGGTCTACTTTCATTCTTTTGCATGAGGCTGTCCAGTTTTCCCAGCACCATTTATTGAAGAGACTTTCCTTTCTCCATTGTATGTTTTTGGCTCCTTTGTCGAAGATTAGCTGTCCATAGATGTGTGGTTTTATTTCTAGGCTTTCAATTCTGTTCCATTGATCTGTGTGTCTGTTTTTATACCACTACCATGCTGTTTTAATTATTAATGCTTTTGTAGTATATTTTGAAGTCAGGGATTGTGGTGCCCTCAGCTTTGTCCTTTTTTCTCAGGATTGCTTTAGCTATTTGGAGTCTTTTGTTCCCCCATATGAATTTTAGGATTCTTTGTTCTATTTCTGTGAAGAATGTCAATGGGATTTTGATTGGGATTGCAGTGAATCTGTAGATTGGTTTAGGTAATATGGACATTTTAACTATGTTTATTCTTCCAATCCATGTGCATGGGATGTCTTCCCATTTCTTTATGTCATCATCAATTTCTTTCAATAATGTCTTATAGTTTTCATTTTATAGGTCTTTCACTTCCTTGGTTAAATTTATTCCTAGATTTTTATTCTTTTTGTTGCGATTGTAAGTGAGATTGTATTCTTGAGTTCTCTTTTTGTTAGTTCCTTATTAGAGTATAGAAATGCAACTGATTTTGTACCCTGCAACTTTGCTGTAACTGTTGATTATTTCTAATAGTTTTCTGATTGATTCTTTAGGGTTTTCTATATATAGAATCATGTCGTGTGCAAACAGTGAGAGTTTCACTCCTTCCTTGCCAATTTGGACACCTTTTATTTCTTTTTCTTGCCTAATTGTTCTGGCCAAAACCTCCAGTACTATGTTGAATAAGAATGGCAAGAGTGGGCATCCTTGTCTTATTCCTGTCCTGAGAGGGATGGCTTTCGGTTTTTCCCCATTGAGTATGATGTTGGCTGTGGGTTTTGTCGTATATGGTCTTTATTATGTTGAGATACTTTGCTTCTATACCCATTTTATTGAGAGTTTTTATCATCAATGATGTTGGATCTTGTCAAATGCTTTCTCTGCCTCTACTGAGACGATCATGTGGTTTTTATTCCTCATTTTGTTAATGTGCTGTATCACATTGATTGATTTGTGGATGTTGAACTATCCCTGCATCCCTGGTATAAATCCCACCTGATCATGGTGTATGATCCTTTTAATATATAGTTGTATTTTGTTGAGGATTTTTACATCTATGTTCATCAGTGATATTGGCCTGTAATTTTCCTTCTTTGTGTTGTCCTTGTCTGGCTTTGGGATCAGGGTGATGTTGGCCTCATAGAATGAATTAGGAAGTGTTCCATCTTCTTCAATTTTTTGGAATAGTTTGAGAAGGATAGGTATTAAATCTTCTTTGAATGTTTCTCCATTCAGAATT